TTGAGATCAGAGAGGTCAGACAGTAGCTGAAGCTGGAGGCCAGGCTGAAAAAAAAAAGCCTGTGAATGAGTGTGGACCAGAAACATATGGCCAGAGACAAACCTGAGGACAGAGAACTCAAAAGGATGCCTTGGGCACCAATTTTTTCCAGAAAACAAGTGTAGTGTACCTTCTTTGAGACATTTCCCTGTATACAGTTCTCGTTAACCTGTAGGTACAAATAAGATGATGTTAACATTACTTCCAAAACTACAAGGTCCTTCTCCCCCTTGCTTATACAGGAGCTCAGCTTCCTTCTGCCTGGCTCCCTGGACCATTTCTGGGAGTCAGGGGTCTTGCGGGGGTTCTTACATGGACAAGGACAAATTTACTCACGTTGGCCTGCTCTGGCCTCCTTGCCAAGCTGCCCTTGCCAGCCACAGCCTCGGGCGCTGGAGGCACATTAGAGAACCTGCTCTGCTCCGTTTCCTCCTCTGCCCTCCACCCCAAGGACAGGTGTGCTTTGTTGTGCTCTTTGGCAGACTGGGTGTAAGGTGGGGTGGGGAGTCAGAGGGGGGAACAACCTTATCTCCAAATCTGTGTTTAGACTCTCTGTGCATTTAACTCCTCTTATTTTTCTCCCTAACTTCAATCTTGCTGAAGTTCCAGACACAGGCCCTGAAGCTGAACTGGGGAAAGAAAGAGAATGACAAGTATCGGCCACCCCCTCCAGTGTCCTTTCTCCCTTATCTCTGTAGCCACTGAAGATCAAATATTGACTGGCCATTGCAATGGACTGAATGTAAAACTAATTCCAATTCCCTGCCTCCTTTCAGCCCTTTGTAATGAGACATTCAGCTCCTCCCATTAAGGACTAGAATCTCCCCACCCCTTTGAATTTGGGCTAGCCTGCAACTGATGGCTTTGATCTGCTGAATGCAGTTGCAGTGATAGTATGTCATTTCCAAGCCTGACTTCCACGTGCTCTCTTGGCTCCTCTGTCATGCCCTGAGAACAGGCTGGGTTAGACTGCTGGCTGATTTTAAAAAAAAAAAGAATTACTTCAGCCCATAACCAACCACCTGCTTAGCGGAGCCCAGAAGACCTGCCCTCCCTTCCAAGCTCAGCCAAAATCAGCAGAGCTGTAGAGATGACCTGCTTTTTCTCATAAGTGAGACCAGGAAGACCAGAAGAGCCACCCAGCTTAACCACAGACTTGTCAATTAAATAAAGTGTATGTCATTGGGTCTTCTGTTTAATATATCACATTATTGTGACGAGATAAGCAATACAGCCCCTTTATGACCTCTAAACTCAAAATATTTTCTGCATGCAAACACCCTTCCAAGAAGATCAACGAGTAACCAAGCTTTAATTCTTAGTCCAGACAGAGCCAGGACACCCTGCTGCCCTTTCAGCAGCCTGTGAGAGAGATACTTGAGTAAGATGGAGATATTTTCATGGAGCAGGTGTCCAGGAGGCCTGTGGGAAAGCTAGTCAGCCTGCTGCGAGAGACACACATGAGGAGTAAATGTGGAAGAATGTCCTACCAGTCCACATGAGGGCCACAAACACCACAGCAAGTTTGGTGCGATGACATTTCTTGTAGAAACTGGCAAGGGAAGGCTATCTCCTCATTTTGAATTGGGTTGGCACTGAGCTAAGACCAAATGCAGCAAATGGCAGGGGGAGGACACTGAGAAGCCCTGGGCCTCAGAACCAAGGCCTTGGTCCAATTTATCTGTAACCTCTGAGGGCAGCAAGGCCAAAAGGCTTGACACCATGGCTGACCTCAGGACCAAGAGCCATGACTAATGATCTCCTGCCCTAGTGCTGACCAATCAGTGGAGGTCATGACCCTGAAAGGACACACCTGGAAAGTTGATGAATATTCTATTAAGATCCTCCCTGGGACTTCTTCTAAGGTCCCTTGCCATTAGAGAGGAGATAAAAACCCTCAGGACAGAGGACTTAGCACAGTGAGAGCTCGCTCTCTCTCCATCATGCCTGCACCTTTCTCCAACCCCTTCTTCCCCAGCTTTCATGCTCTCTGAAGCATACCAGGCCTTTACCCCTTCCCTTCCTTCTGGGAGCATAATCCTTGCTTTCTTTCTCCTAAGTTCCAAGGGTCCTTCTTTTGCCTCTGTAACTTGTTTCCTGAGCCCATGCAGCCCAACTGGCTCACTTCTATCTTTGTGGCTTTCTAAATAAACATTTGTTTGTCTTTGAGTGTTGGCTCTGAATTCTTTCTTTGCCACAACTCCGGTACTGAGGTTGCTGAACTGAGATCCAATCTTCAGTAACATCTTGGTGTCATTTCACCACTAACATGTGCAGCCTGGTTGCAGGGCAAGTTCTCTTTACTAATTATTAACCTCCATTTGTTATTTCTAGAGACTTTGAATGGATCCTGGCAAATGAATGCAGCCAAGGCGGATGAGTGAAGGATGCCCACCCAGACAGCTCTGAAATGCCCCACTGGGCTCTGCTGATGGAGCTGTGTTTTGATTCAGGATTCTGCCAGTCAGAGAAAGGCTACCCACACTCAGCAAATCACTGTTACAAAGGCCATTAGATGGAAATCTAAGGATTGATAACTGGAACCACACACAGCTGGAGAGAAAGCAATAAAAAAAATAACTTCCCAAAGGCTTATTTCTAGGTCTGTTTATCCTTTTGAGGGAATAAAAAATATGAGGGTGAACATGGAAAAATCCTTCTTAATTTGATAGTTTAGTCTCTTGGCCCTGTTGGGCTAGGAGTGAGAGTTGGGTTGAGTTAGGGCTCCAGAGGTGGCTAATGTATCCTATTTAGGGGAACTCACTTTAGAGAAGCAATATGGCTCCAGCAGCAAAGGTGTCTGGAAGATGTTAAATGCTCTGTGACTGTTTAACTCTCTGAACCCTCATGCTTGGCTGACTACCCTGAAAACCCAATACTGCCCAAAGATGAATGTCATGGTTCTGGGAAGGAAGTCAGTGAAAGTATAGAGTACAGTGTGGAAGAAAAGGGGCCACATATGAAACCCAGCAAGCTCCGGGGAGGCCTGAGTGGCAGCCTTACAAACCCAGACACTTCAGGTAACCACAAAGAGTGGTCTGAAATGAAAACTTATTAATGAAAAGAAATTCATGGTGGGTAGCTCTGTCCTAGGCTGGTATTTTCCCTAACAAAGGTCAATCTTTACCTTAAATGAGACTGTGTGTTGTCTTTTTGCATCTATGATGACAACATACCTTTGGAACATCAAACTTCCTTTTTCCAGACCATTCAAAGCACAGGTGGCACAGGTGGGGAACAAGGAGGAGACCATAAATCCCCTCATTGTTATTGTTATTATCTTAATTGTAACTGTTAATTATCCTATACCCACCCGTGTAAAAGTATGTGTTTATCATTTTGCATTTTATCTATCTACCTTCAGAGGTTCCTCCCCCCACCTTTTCCTTTCTCCCACTTCCCTAATCTGTCACCAGTGGATTTTGTGTGACTCCCTCCTGTCCTTTACTTTGATTCTGATGTATGAAATAAGGTACTAAACTGCTATTCTCTGGAGCATTTTCTTAATTAATTGAGATTTTGCTTCCCAGCAATTGTTGTTAGTTTGGGTCAAGTAAACTCAAAAATTCTTACAGGTTTAGAGGTTTCTTACGTTGACAGTAGTAACTGCCTGATACCATGTTTTAACTTTTCTTTTAACTTAGTGATTTATTGTTCTCTAGGGAGGTCCACACAACTACCTGCCAGCTGGTCTTGTTATTAACACCTTCTATTAACCCCCTTTGAAAAGGGACCCTGTACTGGGAGGGGTGTGGCTCTGCCCAGGCCAGCCACCACTGGGAACAGCTGCTTTGCCCGTCTGTGTCGTGTCTCTTCTATTAAAGCTCCTGTGACTTTGAACAAGGCTGCATGTCAGTCCTTCGGAATTGATCCTGACCTTAGAGTTGAGGGGCTTTCCCCCAACACTCTGCACCTTAAGAGCCTTTTCTGGACATTGTCCACTATAACTGAAACTGGAAAAGCCAGCATTCATGCTGCCTGTCACCGACCAGACCCAATAAGCAGAGACAGGGATTGAATCTTCATGGGCACCTTATTCAGATGGCTGGCCATCTGAGAAGACAGTGGGTTTGTACCCTAATCGTAGATGGTCTTCAATTCCATTTTAAACCAACACTTTTTATAAGAAGGAAAGTGTAGGTATAGGATTTGGAATTCAGGGGGAAGTTAATCGGGTAAAAAGCTGCAGCGTTCTTTCATGTGTCCTGGGAGGTGGGCGTCTCACCCTCACCCTAGGGCACAATGGCTCAGATATCACCTTGACTGCTTGCAGTCCTCCTGGGGCACAAAGTGGAACTGCTTATGGTCTCTGGGAGTCAGGGGACCTGGGTCATACCTTCAGTTCCTGAAACAACAGCTTTTTACACACATTGATTACTAAGCTTATTAGCTATTACCTGAAACTAAGATTTTCCAACATTTGACTCTCCTATCATAATCATAGTTATATAGGTGTGGTCCTGATTGGTGTCGGGGGCTGGGGTGATTCAGGGTAAGGGAAATATTGATTTGGTGTGTGAGCTTTAGACAGAGGATGGGGAAGGGGGTCAGGGCTCTGGATTGATTACTTTGCATATCAAAGATGTGCTCAAAGGCAAGTTGCTATTTCTAGGAATTAGCTGACTGTAGGAGGGACAGGCCCTCTTAGGTCGGAAAGGCCTCCGTAGGTCCAAGCATCATACCACACAGAAAATTAAAAATGTGGTTAATACAGCAAGCTAAGAGAACGTGTATCAGCCCTGAGAGTGCCCGAATTATGGGGACACTTCTGGGTTTTCTCTTCAGGCTACAGGGCTCAGGACTCTGCATTCTGCCCTTTAAGTATTTACAGAAGTCTTTCTCATCATCTCACGCCAGCTCTCTTGACCCGGAGCAGTTCTCTGCTATTTCAGTAAATAAACAGGAGGCAAGTTCAGGGTGGGACTTCCTCCTCAGGGTGTTTGACAAGGCCCTTTGAATCCAGGAAGTCTAGGACACACCCAACCTTGGGGCAGTGTCCTGACTCTCCAAAGCTGAAGGCTGGAGCACAGCTTAAACGGACAGAAGCAAGAAACATTTCAGCATGAGAGACCCACTCGCAAACTGTTCAGTGAGTACCTTGGTGTAGTTTGCATCTTTGTGGGTGAGAAGGGGGCTGAGGAGTAGATTTATGTACTATTGTATTTTAACTTAAAGTTTGAGATGCTCAGGAACTAGACATGTTTAGATACTGGCTGTGAGACAAAAGTCTGGTTTTTCTCTGGCTTGATTTAATTGCCCTTTCTCACAAATGACGGGGCAGGTCATTGTCATCTTTCATTCTCATATTCTTAGAAAAACTTTGAGTGGGTATAACATCATATTTGCATGGAGAGGGTAGCCATGTAGAAAACATTAAGACGTACACCAGTGGTGCCAACATTATGCACACAGCAGACACACAAACACGCAGAATGTCTGCAGCAATCTCAGGCCCTGAGAAGGAATTTAGGGTGGAAGGTTTTTGCATATTTTCCCACATCATAGAGAGTCAAGAACTGCCAAGTCCCAGAAGAGGAAGAAGAGACTCCCCATCCTGTGCAGTGGTTCTCAGACAGCTTTACTAGTGTGTTTCTTTCAGCCCCGGGAAAGCAACCAAATCTAGGAGATGCCCAAAGGCATCTGAAGTTCTTAGCAGCAATAGCAGAGATGTACTTTAGAAAATGTGGAGCAACTGAAACAAAGGGGAGGAGGATGTATTCACTTTGGAAATAACGTTATCAAAGATTATCAGTGTGTTATCCTAAGACATGGTGCCAAGAAGCAACAATTGATTGCAACAGAAGTAAGGGGTCTTTCAAGTATTTTATTTAAAAAAAAAGTTGAAAAACAGATAAATGAGAACTGCAATAGAGCCACAGAAAATGTCCAGTGGATGCAGAGAGCACAGGCTGAGAGAAGAAGGACCCATAACTGCAATTCTACAAAACGAGTCCATGACTCGGATAAGCTAAATGAGATGAAGTCATAATGGCTGGTACTATTAATAGTGACAATGTGGTTGCACCCTCTGCCTACTTTAACTTTTTAAATGCTAAAGTAATGTCTAATGTAAAAAAAAAGAATCCAGCCATATGGTTGTGTATAGACTTGAAGGAAGAAACTCTCCCCTTTTAATTTCCTCCAGTCTTCATTACAAAAATGTTTAAAGAGCCTTTTATCATTTATTTATTTGCTGTTTGTTTATTTTTCATTCCTTGCATTTGCTCCCTTCTAAAATGTTAGCGCCTTTCTCAGCATTGATACTTTGATCATGTTTTTGCATGGGGGCGGGGGCGGGGTTGAGTGGGGCAGGGTTGAGTGGGGCAGGGCCTGGAAAAGTAAACGCAAAAACCTGGCACCAACAGTCACCAGAGAAGAAAGTCAAGCCCAAGGAAAGAGTGACATAGAAGAGAGGGAAACTTAAGCCCAACTAAGTTTAAAAAAAAAAAAAAAGAACTGACAACCTAACATCCTTTTCTAAAGCTGTCTTTAGGTCAGGAATTGGGTGAAATCTTTTCTTTTGAGCAGCTCAAAGACAACTGTCCCCACAGCTCTTTGTCAGTTTAATGTCCCCTCCCTGACATGCTGGCAAGTTCTTGACTCCACGGCAGAACCATTGCCCCAGGACTCCTACATTTGCCTGCAGCTTTGAAGGTTATCTCTAGGGGCCCAGTGCCACCAAAAGCAGTCTGGGAGTCAAGAGGAAGTGCCTAGCCTGTCAGCCAGGATCTCTAAATCCTCTAAGTCGTGGAACCTTGGTGATATTTATTTGTTTGCACCTGTTTATCTTCGTCAACTGTTCACCTTGATACCCTGGAGCAGCCCTAGCTGGTGTCTGGGGAGTAGTACTGTGTCAAGAAAAGGCTGCAGTTTGGAAATGGGTTATATTAAATAAAGCAAAGGAATGCTTTATGAAACACTTTGGCAGTTTTATAAAAGAACCCAAAGCTTCAACCACCTGCTAAATGTCCCATTTCATGAGTGCCTAGGGTTGCACAGAACACAATTCATAAAGCCTCAGCTTAGCTACAGTTATCAACCCGTCTACCCCAGTGGATCCTTGTATGGAAATCAGTAGGTTGCATGAATTTTGATGAGAAAAAGATGATCTTTTTATTTGTACTAGGTTCTAACTGAAATTTAGAATTTCCTTCAATTTTTTATATAAGCAACACCCCAGCACCACTCAAGTATCTGTGACTTTGTAGCCAAGAAAAATCATGCGTATTTTTATATAATTTTAAAGTCATTCACAAATATCTGGAAATATTGTTCATGCTCAACATGGTTTAGAAATTTGAGTAATTCCTAATTAAAAAGCACACATAATTTATGATTTTAAAATGTTTTTATAAATATGTATATCAATATCATTAGTTTTCTTTGTAATCCTGTCATTTTATTTTATATGTTTGAAAGTATTATTTTGAGTAAAATCAGCTTCACCAGACTGCCAGAGGGCTTATGATACAAAAAATTTTTGATCTCTTATTTTCAGTCTGGCTCTAATGGGCAACATAGGCTGAGGGGTGGACCATTCAACCTCAAAGAGCAGCATCAGTGTCTGTGATCAGATCATTAGTCTCCAGGGTGGTGCAAAGATTGCCTAAACCCCGTATAGGACTTTTACTCAACTTGGGGTATCGGAACTTATTTTAAGAAGATTTTTAAAATTTCTATCTTTTTTTTAAAGATTTTATTTATTTATTTTTAGAGAGGGAAGGGAGGGAGAGAGAGAGAGAGAGAAACATCAATGTGCGGTTGCTGGGGGTCATGGCCTGCAACCCAGGCATGTACCCTGACTGGGAATTGAACCTGCGACACTTTGGTTCACAGCACGCGCTGAGCTACATCAGCCAGGGCTAAAATTTCTATCTTTAAACAGGAAAAGAATTGCCCCTGAGTGTTGATGCCTTGATGCCTGTTAGCTGAGCTTCAAACCTAAAAATAGTGCCAGTTGAAATCCTTTTCAAGTCCATGAGCAAGGAAATAGACAGGGTCAAATTATCTCCAAATGAAATAATTTAATCATTAAAAAAATGTAGCACCTTCCTATGAAACAATGCCATAGAAATCAAGGGCGGATAATAAGCTGTAACCGAGTTTTTGCTTCACTCGCTCCTTCAGCATGCAGGTAGGAGCCTGTCAAGGCAGGCCTTCAGGGATCCATACCTGAAACTTTTATCAGCTGGTGAATCAGTAGAAGGCTGCAGGGCTGTTCCTCCAGCCTCGTTCAGATGCCAACCTGAGCTTCCTGTCTTATTGTCTCCGTCTGGGTCACAGGTGTTGACAGGCACTAATAAACAAAAATGCTGCTGTTGTGATGGTCCATGGCCCCTGAGGGGCTCTGCTACACTGCAGAGACCAGGGACCTGTGGAGTCTGGCATGGGGGTCTGTGGCCCAGACCACCCCCAGTGTGCATCACTAAGATGTGTGATGTGTCAACCCACACTTCCTGCACCTGTTTCCTCATCTGTAAAGTATGTGGAGGGGAGGATGAAGTAGACCATGTTTTTTAATGTTCTGTATCTTGTAATTTGTAACAGCCTGCCATGGGCATTCCAAGCATTACACAGATGTCTACTACATACAAGAAGCCCTTCCCTGGAGCGGCAGTGCTCTGACATGTTGCCGCAGGTGAAATCAGTAGTACTGTGCCTGGCATTGAAGGGCATTGAGCAAACGCTTATTTAATTAAATTTAAGCAAAATATCATGGTTTATTTAACACCATGAGGATCATCATTATCCAAAAAAGAAAACTTGTAACACCTAAAATAAAAAATGGATTTTTCCAGAATAGATTAATTTAACCTTCTTAATCATTCAAATGATGGAAAATCAGAAAAAATCATCTAAGCCAAGGTTTATAGAGTGCATTTTATATTGATTACAAGTCATCTGTCTAGTCATTTCATGTGCCAGTTGCCTAGAATTTGCTTGCAAAAACTGGGCAGAAACATTTTCTTGATGGCTGAATGGGAAAAGACTGTGGATACTAGCTGTCAATGTGAAGGAATTTTTAGGGGCTCAGAAAGATCCCAAATATTCTGTCACCAGCCAGAAAAAACCCATAATGTTTTTTCCTAGTAATTAATAACCCTCAGGAAAAACAACATGCTAAATTCATATGGAGATGTAAGATCAATAGTAGTATCTTTCCTGGAATGAATATTTAATGTGGGGTGAGGTATTTGAAAGTAGAAGAATGTGAAAAGAAAACCAAAAATTTACCTTCTGCATGACTGACTGAGCAAGCCTTTCCTGTGCAGTTTGATGACGTTAGGAAACCATGTATCTGTACTGCTCATAACACTTACCGACAACTATCACTCTGAGTGAACTTACTGTAAGTATATGGAATAAACCATTTAGAATATATTTGTTCTGATGGAGTCTCTAATTGATTTGCTTGCCTAAAATTTCTAATCACAGTTCTGTCCCTAACTAATAAGATTCTTTCTCTAGCTCTTTGGGCGTGAACTATAAAATAAGGAGATTGGACTTGGGTGGTTTCCAAACTCTGCTCCACGGAATCCCTTCAGATGGCCTCACTGAGGGTGGGAGTGGGGTGGGAATGGAGGTGGGATAGGAGAGGGAGAGCCAAAGCCAAGGTCAAGAGATTTCATCCCCTCCAAGCAGACACATTCCAATATGTTCTGATTGCACACACAAGTTTGCTGGACAAGATGGTCTCTGGGTTCTGCTTTAATATCTATGCAAATCTGCTTCTCACTGCTTTTGTCTTCACCTCTGAGTAGATGGTTCATAATGAAAGGAGCAGAATCATGTTTCTAAATAAAGGGTTATGCTAAACTAATGGAAGTATTTTTAGCAACTCCTTTATTTGTTGATGCTACCTTTATCTCAGCATAGAACAAGATTCATTGGGGAGTGTTCCGTATAGTGTATGCAGGGTCAAAGATAAAGATAATTTCCATTGTTATTATGAGCAGAACATCCTGCTCTTATCTGATCAATAAATTACCAATGTAATGTGCTGAAGAACTTCTGTACTTGTGTGTGCCTGGGCACACTGCAGATTGGGGAATGGGTTGCAGGTGTATCTGAGACACAACTCCCCTCAGC